GCAGGCGGTGCTGCGGCCGCAGCGCTGGTGCTCCGCTACCCCGAGCCTGGTTTCCAGGGAATGCAGACCGGGACGTGCCTGGTGGTTAGGTGACAGCCTGGTGATGGTCCTCTCGGTGAAGCGGAGACGTGGTGTTTTAGACCCAGGGCTGCAACTCCGCACGTTGTATTTGAGTTAATGCTTTGATTCTTTCGCGCCTGGGTTGGTTTTCAGAATTTCATTCAGTCTTTTGCTGTTGATGTCCTTTACTTTAGGACTTCATCCTGCTCTTGCTATAGATACGTTGCTACTCGCGTGGTTAAACAGGGTACGCATGACGGCATCTTAAACACAGATGCAGAAGAATAAGGTAAGACGTCAAGAGCGCAGAAGCAGATGGTAATAACTCCAGGTGTAGCGCTGTATTCTTGTTGCATGTCATCTCTAGCTACAGGTATTTCCCAATTTCATTAAATAATCAGTCCTCTCATGCAAGCATAATAAAGCAGAGTTGTGTTTAAAGATTCTTTCCGCTCTCGTTGCCTAGCTTTTTAAATGGAAGCATAGTAGTGGCACGAGCATGTGCCAGATTTATAGCAGAATATGCCTTTGTGAAATTGGTCTGCCGTTTACTACAGTTGTAAATATTTTGTCAGATTTCTTCATGAAATATTGAAGAACTGGTGCTCTGTAGTTTTGTTTCTGCGAGATTCACAGAAACGCAGCTGGCGTCTCGCAGGTTCTGCTGTGAGCATCAATCGTAGATCAAGGACAAGTTGTTCCACTTTAGACGTGTCATCAAAACAAACTGGGGCAGTTTGTGTGGAGGAACAAAACAGAATGAAATTTTTTGCTCTTGGTGGCAAGATTGACTTTCAAAGAGCTCAAACTAGTTTTCTGTAGTCCTTTATGGTTTTATCTGTTTTACCCCCATTAATTAGCCAGCTCCCACAACACCTTTCCAGAGTAATTGGGAAGTTATATGCAGCCCTTGTCTTCCTTCATCTGCTCCGACTCAGCCCTTTAGGAAGGGGTACGGTGCGAGTCTCAGCTTAATGTAGTATCTTGTGTGGGCTTCAGCCTGGTATCTCTCACACTGTGCTGTGCTGCAACCACAGTTACTTTTTTTTTTTTTGAGACTTCACAGAATTAGCATTTCTCTGAAGTTCATCCTTTGCTTGTATTGCCCTTCATGTTCTCTTTTGACATCTTGGACCACTTTTTTTCCCAGTTTTTATCCACATGGTTATCCTGCCAAGATACTGTGAGTTCACTGGTTATTCTCCAGCTGTTTCAGTTGTTACGCCCTCAGATATTCTGTGGTGATGGCACTGTTACATCAGTGTTCATATCACCTGAGTGCATAGTCTGTCAGTCCTGTCATCTGACTACCTTTTCAGATACAAAGTTTTCCCTTGCGGGCCGACATCATTAGTTACAAGCCATGGCCCTTTTTATGGTACTTACGTGTTTTGCTTTTTAAAGCATGAATTTGCAGGACAATCCATGTTAAACCATGAATGTACCTATCCAGATGTTTTTCCCTCTTGGTATGTTCATATTTTTTTAAAAATACATTTAAGGTGGGATGGAGAACACAAGCAAAAGTTGTGATTTGCTTTATGAAGTTGGATATTGAAATTCTCCATAAGACCTTTGCTATAAGGTACTGGCAAAAATATGTCATCAAATACTACTTCTTTTACCCATTCAATCCTTTAATTTACTTTATTCATAAACCCAGTTACAGGGTCTTTTCATTCTTGTCCCTGGACACATCTGGTTTCTGTTCATCCTTAGAAGTATTTTTTCAGTGGCAAGTGGGTTTCAGTAGGAAACCTGAGGGAGATTGTGCAGGATGCAAACATGAACGTTGACAGAACATACTTAGCATGGGTAGTTGGATAAAAAGGATTAATAAAAGTGAGAAATGACATGGGATTTTTACTGTCACTTGGAAAGTTGTATCTAGTGGTCCAAAGGCTCTGTCGCACTCCTTGCGCAAAAAGTGCATCAGTGTCTCACCCTTTTAGGACTGCAATATAATGTCAGGATTGGCGTTTGAGCTCCAGTGACGGTGTAGGATGTGTGATGTGCCTTTGGGCTAGGAAATCTTGGAGATGACACTTTCAGAATTTCAGATGACATTTTCCAGGGGAAGAAGTGTTGCTGCCACTACCAGTCAGCAGTTCTGGTCCTTTTACTGCTCTAGCAGGCAGCGGGGGCTTGTTTGCCGCAAAGGTTTCGGTGGCTGTCAGGGCGCTGAGCCTCCTGGCCCGCTGATGGGTGACACTGCCCGGTTGCTAACTGTGATGGATGCGGTTCTTGCTCTGATTGGGTGACATTTGATCTAGTGGCGAGCAAGCCAAAATGCCACAGGTAACGCTTGGAACAGATGTCCAAAATATATCAACTTGCAGCTTACATCAAAACATGTAGCAGTTCTGCAGAGGATCTGGCATTACTGACCCGTACAAGGCTCTTCTTTCTGTGCTCTGACAGTTACGTGGAAGCTCATAAAGACCCTTCACAGATGTGCTACGGAGTATCTTGGCCTTTGGACTTAATCTGCACATCTGTGCTGTTCCTCAGCCCCTTGCTTTGGTGCTAGGCTGCTGTTGACAGCTGGACAGTTCTGTTAAGTTACATGAAAGTGCGAATTTTTCACTGTATTCAGTGCATGCTGTGCCTTTTCAGTGCGATACAGGGCTTTTTTGCATTATCAACATAAAATGCTATCATTTTAACTTGGAAGTTTGACTACAAGTGGTGAGACCGCTGGAATTTAGGATACCTCAGATGAATTGAGGGACTGAGGTAAATGTATTTGCCCCAGCTTTTTTGAATTCAGGTGCTCACTGATGAAATAATTAACAATACTGGTTTCACAGTTAATAGGCAGTCCAACTGGGAGAGTCTTACCTGTATCCAAAATAGTACCTGGAGACTATCTGTAGACTCACTTGGCTATATTGCATAGGGTAAGTATGTTTAGATGAGCTGGTGGTTATTATACCATTTTAATCTTGTTTGTGTTCTAGTAATGCAACTGTAATCCTCCTGGTTAATCGAGAATCAGGAAAAATGTTGTGATAGGTATTACACAGATAAGAACAAAAATGTGGCACTTGTCTGAAAGAGCTGGCACCCTAATTATGTGAGGAGGGAAAAAGTGGATCTTGGCAGATGGAAGCAGTGATGTGGTAGTAGTCAGCATGGCAGGTTATTTCTCTAACATACTGGTGATCTGGTTTGCATTTCTTATAAGTATCATAGTGAAGGCACTGCATGGGAAAACTCACTAAGGTGGCACATTTCAAAATTTAGCAAGTGAGCTGTAGACATTGTAGGAGGAGGCACTCAACCTCTAAGTAAGGAGTGCAAGATGATGAGACAGGAATAGGTTTTGGGGTGTCTAGACAGTGAAGACATAGTTTGCTTCTCCACCTCTCTCGCATAAAGATGCTGTGAAGAGGAACGACCTGTTTTGTTTTGTTTTGGTTTTTTTTGTGTTTGGTTTTTTTTTTTCCCCCAAAAGAAAAGCGAATTCTAGTTCACACTAGCCTTGTATCTTTTATTGGTCCTACCTCTACAGGGTTCCAGTAAAATATAAAATTCTTAACAATAACATTTGTTTTGGGAACTACGTCCAGCTCTTTTTGGTTTCTAAATAGATACTTTATGAAGAGGGCACATTTCTAAATACAGAAATATTAATGCTGTTAAATATAGACTATTTCTGGCATACCTTACATTTAAAATAGTCTAGGCATACCTTCAATTTAACTTAACAAATTTAGCATGTTGATTTCTGGCACTTTGTCAAATCTGAAGCTTTTAAAATTAGGTAGGCAGATCATCCTGCTGCTTTTGAAGTGGTTTGTTCTTTCTAGAAAGGTGGAAATGAGCAGTTGTAGTGAGGAGCTTTTGATCTTAATCAGCTTTTTGTAGGTAGACTGGCATTAGGACTCTTTTAAGAAATAAAAAGTAAACCGAGAATAGCAAGTGATGATGATTACACTTCAAACTCTTGTATGCTGAGCTCAAAGAATCTGAACATGTTTGGCAAGGACTAATTCTTAGTTTTGTATGAAATGGTTGTTTACAAGGAAGAGATTTAGCTGTTTCTATTTTTAGGTTTTGCCCATGAAACTGCATAATTTCTTTTTAAGATTTTTACTGTGTGCCAAATAAAGATCAGGGTGGAGCTAACATACCCTCTGAACGCAGCTTTTTCTACCACAAAAATCAGGGGTTTTTTATTTGTCAGATTAATTGGTCAAGTGTCATTTGCACTGTGACTTGATTTTGTGTATACAAAATGAAAAACTTACCATATTTGTTTTTCCATCACAGAAAGAAACTTCCAGGCAAGGATTCATGGAGACTTCTTTCTGTATAGGGAAAGAAGGAGAGTCTGTCTCCTGTAGGACACTCCACAGTTGACGGCTGTAGCCACAAGTTACTCATTGAACATACTAAAAAAATAGGAGAATGGGTTGGAAAGAGGCAAATCATGGGAATATTGCCACGGTTTTTAATCTTCAGTGTATGAAGTTCTTTTTGTGTAAATTATTAATTTCTCCTCTGCCGGCTTTTCATGAATGGCTTGTGCCTATGGTCAACAGAAACCTACAGAATGTGTCTCTTGCTTTTTTCATAACTGTATTTTATGCTTTCTTGGGCCTATGTTTGTTCAGGGTTTTCATTCCAATAAAATCTCAACCTTTTATCTCCCATAAACTGAAATATTTCTGAGAAGTAATTTCTGAAGCACCTTTAGGTTTCTTCCTCGTTTATCTCAATTAAATATAATAATCAAATTCCTGGCATAAATGTTTTGATTTTGAAATGTTAATCATGTTTTTAATGATTAAATGAGACCTTTTACTTGTAATGTTT